TATATATGTATAGAACAAAAGTTCATTTTTATCAAGCATCATTTTGATATAATACACACTAATCTAGGATTTCAAGTACTTTGTTCAGCTCTGAATCATCGGAAATTCTCTCAACATTTGAATATCATTAAATGTTCATACATAATTTTCTAGTCAATTTTCCCGATGTGCGATTCATTTTAATTCCGTCACTATTGTCTATAAGGATCAACGCTTTCTACGCGTTATTATGCTTATTATATGTACAAAACAAAAAAAAAACAAGAATCCAACTTACTGTGTTCGTTCTAATTGCTTCCATTGTTCTGTTGCAAACACTTCTTTACTATATGTTTTAATAAAAACAAGTAAATTATCTTTGAGCAATTTTGAATTATAAATATTTGCTCTAATAAGCATTTCAGCTGCTGTTTCAAATGTAAATGTATTAATTAATGATTGTATGCATAATATTTTTAAAGTTTCAATAGCATATTTATCAGCTGCATATAAAAGATCTAATGCATTTATATCTAAATGTTTTATTTCATTATAATAAATAAAACGAAGCATTTCTTCACATATATCATCTGATATATCATTGATTTCAATAATATTTGAACGTGTTTCAATCATATCAGATAAAAACATGCGTTCAAATACTTCACTTGATATTGAAAGTATGCAACGATGAACATGAAATTCTTTTGTACCAACTTTTATTTTAATATCAGAAAATTTTCCTGTATGAAATAATTCTTTTGTTAATGATGAATTTATTTTAGAATTATTTAAAAATAAATTTTCATCTAATATATTTAAACATAATGTTGAATTACTTTCTTGTCCATAAAGTACAATACGTGCAAAAAAAACCAAACATGGACTAGAATTATATTGTTGTGTACAATCACTTAATTCTTTACTTGTAAATGGATCAAATATATATTCATCAATTGGATCAATTATATCACTCATTTTAAGTAAACGTGTTGAAAAATTAGCACGAACAAAAAATTCTAGACGAAATTTATATGGTAAATGTTTTTTAATACGTAATCTTAAATGATATAACATTAAAATCATATTTTGTTCACGTTGAAGTGTTAATGATAATTGAAAACAATTATTTAAATGTACATAATGTCGATCTAATTTATGTTCAAATGTAAATATTGAACTTTCAAGACATTCATCTTCATAACATAACTAAAAGAAATATGTTCAAATATTTTTAAACTATATTTAATCAAATTTTACTCTGAAGAGATAATCTCTTGAGATGATAACAAAAAACTTTTGTTATTAGGTAGAGTCCATTGAGAATAAGCAAATTCTATAGTGGTTCATTACCTTATTGCTTTCTTCTCGAGTTATGATAATTTTACTGATTTCATAGCCTAGTGTAAGGTAGAACTTGCTGGGTCCAAAATTTTTGGACCCAGACTCTGTTAATTACATAAGAGGGTTTGCTTACGTTTATAAAAGAACTGTTCGAAGTGATAAATCGTTTTTGGGTTTGGACTCTATGCATAAGCTAGAATGTAATGAGATACGAAAAACTTCAAAAAGATGAATATCATTAAGTCTTCTATTCAGAGTTATAGTGATTTTATTAGAAATTTAACATATATCGCGGTATATACCAAGAAATCACACGATGACATTTTGCCTGCAGATAGATCTACTTATAAATAGTATATTCTGAAATTTTCAGCTTAAAATCATGTTTCCTTCACGGAATATTGAATTTCCACAATTTACTCATATTTTATGAAAGGTGAATGAGTCTCATCTTTTCTTTTTTTTGGAAATGCAATATCTTGTGAAGAAAACATTCTTTTCAACTAGAAATTTTAGAACATTCTATTTATACGTAGATCTGTTTGTAGGAGAAATGCCATCGTTAGATTTTCTGGTGTATACTATGTTATAGACTACATATTCATTAAAATAACAATAACTATGAAGGAAAGACTAAAAGCTACTTATCCTTTTGTGATTTTTCATATTTCCCTGAAGTTTACATTATTTATAGAGTCTGAACTCAAAAATAGTTTATCACTTCGAGCAATTCTCTCGTCAATTGTTATATTGACATATAAATAAAACATTCTGCGATAGAAGAAAAAAACGCATTATTTTTATCACATGATTAATATAAACTTTATTATACAAAGAAGAAGACAGCCGAAATTTATTTATTTAAATCAGTGGATTTTTCTATTTATAGTATAGAATACATTTGAATTATATTAATAGTTTATCCTCTTTGTAATTCCTTCCGTTTGACAATAAAAGAAATTCTAATATAAATAGAAAAATAAATCTTAAATGCTGTGATGTATATTTGGTATTTTACCGTGAAATACTATTCAATATAGATATCAAATTTCAAAGTCTATCAACTAATAAGAACTGTTAGCACAAAATCATTCAGAATATATCAATCAGTATTTAATGAATATTTATTTATCAATATTTCAATTATACACATAATACTATCTTGACTAGCAGCATTGTAATAATTAATTTAATTTTCTTTACGCATATATACTCGCATATGTAAAATTAAACTCGTCTTATTTGCATTAGGAGAGAATTCATAAAAAAAAAATTGATGTTCATTTTAGTATGAAACTACACATCGTATCTAATAGAAAAATGAAATTTTAATGCCTGAAATACCTTTGTTTTTGTATTAAAATCTTCAATAATCCATTGATAAGTAAATGATGGTTCATCAATAATTGTATTTCCATTTCGTACTTTAATTAAACGTAAATCATCACATCCTGATGCCTCACACATTGGACGTATTTGAAGTGTTATAGTTAATGATGGACATGATAGTAGACGATCACGTGATGATGATATATATGATTTTAAAAAATTTGATATAACATAATTACCTAAGAATATAAATGAAAATAATTTCGAATATATTTATTTATTTATTTTTCTTTCTATTTATTTTTACGTTTTATATCAAATGATTCACTCGGATCACAATAAAAACTAGCATTTGACCATGTATATTTATAAATTTCTTCTCCATTATATTCACATGTAACTACAACTTCAGCTTTAATTGTACGTAATTTTGGCTTTGTAAAAAAAAACAAAAGATATCAAGATTAATTTTTTTTTTTGAAGCTCAAATATTAATTGAATACCTTAATCATAAAAACATAAAATTTAACAAAAATACTATTACGTTCACAATAGGATGGATAAAGACGCATAATCCAACTAATTAAAAAGAAAAAGAAAATAAAATCGATAGCAAAAGTTTAAGACACTTTCTACTTTTGGAAAAAGAAAGTAGGATAAGAGCTATCTTTTGATTGAAAGATGTAGTCAGGATTAACATCTACAGAAACTATCTATTGTTGATCTAGTTGAGTGTTAGATGAAGCAAGAGGAAAACTTGTCGATTTTCTTCAGCAGGCAAAAGTGTAAAAAATTTTTAGTATTTTATCAATTTTTTTATTATCGAATAACGAATAATTTAGAAGAATATATCAGGAGATGCAGAATTAAATGAACTATAAGAATTTATGACTTTCTAGTATGCCGTTAGAAATAACATTGAAAAACTGTACAGAACTGTATGTATTTTTTATTTCGCGATAACTTATCGTACTAAAATGTTTTTCAACGTCATTTAAAAGTGAATTAATGTTTCATTAATAATTAAGAAAACTGAGATTTAAGAAGTTTCAAAACTTTGAAAAATCGTACATTTTGTAGAATACAATTCGTTATATCATACGAGTTCTACCAGTCTTATGTACACTGTACCTTCCATAAGATACAACCTTTTAAAGTTTGATTGCTAATTTCAATGACGATTTTCAGTTATTTTGCGCTTATTCTGTACTCTAATATTATGAAAGCTCTATATATGATGGAATACATTTTATATACATAATTGGAAGATCTCATCTGATAGAATGCATTGGGCCCTACAAAATGCACTATTCTTCAAAGTGTTGAAATTTCTCTTTAAACCTCAATTTTCTTAACTATTAATGGAACATTAATTCACTTTTAAATGATGTTTTAGAAAAAAAATTCTATTATGACAAGTTATTACGAAATAAAAATAACACACAGTTCTGTATAGTTTTCAATGCTCTTTCTAATAGTATACTAGAAAGTCATAAATTTTTACAAAAGTTTTTTTTTTAATTTGATAATGAATAAGTTGACAAAATATTAAACATATCTTAAACTCTTGTCTCTGCTGGAGACAATTTGCAAGTTTTTCTCTTTATCTATCCAACAATTAACTAGATCAATAATAGGTTATTTTTATAGATCATAGCTCTGACTGCGTCTGTCACTCAAAAGATAATTGTTATTTTCTTTGTTTTTTCAGAAATAGAAAGTATCTTAAACTTTTGCTGTGCACTTTATATATATATACATAAAATCAAATATAAAAAAAAATCTTTACCTAGTTGAACAATTTGTACATGGAAATAATTCACTTGTATATTCGTCTCCATCTCTACTATGTTGAACATTTTTAATTAACCAATTATGTTTTATTTCTACTAATGGTTCAGCAATAGATGCTTGTTGTGTAGGTCGTGATGCTGATTGTGCATTGCTACTTGTAGCGGCTGCTATAGTTGATGATCCAGTTGACATGATCTGCTATTTCTTATGTTGCCTGTAAAATCATTCTGATAGATAAAGGAAGAAAAAAATAGAATAAGCTATTTCTTAGCTCTTTTCTAATATTTGTCCCTAGAGACGTTTTTTTTTGTTTCTATTTTATTTCTTTAAACGAAAATCTTAGCTGATTGGTTGAATCGATTAACTAATAAAAAACTATTCTTTTACCTTCCACACAGCTGATATTAAACTATTGATTGGTTAAAACGATACTATATATATCTGTCAAATTTTCTTAAAGAAAGAAAAAAAACATAGTATATATATATATATAAAACATTCACACATTCATTTCTTCCTCCTATTCTTTATTCATTTCGTCTAGTAAAATAGAAATGCCAGTACAACGTGGTCTTACACAAGAATGTCAGCAACATTTTCAAACAACTAATCTTTATGAGATATTTTCTATTCATCGAACAGCTACTGATGCTCAAGGTATGATCTAATTATTCGAATTAAAAATTCATTGTCTTGATAAATGAATAAATAGATTTATACACATGAATGAGTTTCAATTTTTATTAAATAATAAATTTATTCTTAGAAATTCATAATTGACAAAAGAAAAAAGTAAATGCAGGAATACTTATTTTTTATTATCTAAACATGAAAAATAATTGAAATTAGAATATTTTAAATAGATCAATGATTGAATAATTTTTCTTTATTGTAGTGAAAAAAGCTTATCGTCAATTAGCTCTTCGTTATCATCCAGATCGAACAGATATTGATCAAAAAGAAGAAGCCAAAACGAAATTTCAAATTATTGGTAAAATTTATGCAATTCTTTCTGATGATGAAAAACGAAAAATTTACGATGATACCGGTAATAATCAAAAAAGAAAACACTTATTTATTTATCATGAAATATTTTCTAGGTGCCATGGATGATGATGATTTAACTATGGGTATTAATGATTGGTATGATTATTGTAAAAAAATGTTTCGAAAAGTTACAAAAAATGATCTTGTTGAATTTGAAAATAAATATAAAGGTAAAGAAATGATATTTGACTACAACCATAGGTATACAACTGTTTTCCTAAAAAGAGGTTTTTTTTTATCAGATTTAATTGTGCTAGTTCAATGGGAAGTCATCAGAAAATGGCTTCAGAGCATTTTCAAGGAGCATCCGATTAGGGCATCATCAGCTATTTCAAGCTTATATTTTTCTCATAAATAGAGAATATCTAAATTAGTGCAATCTCCAAGAGATTCTTATTCTTTTTGAAATTTTACTGAGTTAAGTCTGTTTCAATACAGTACTTTCTATAAAAACATGTAAAATACTAGTGTTTTAAAACAGAACAAACATGATAATTAGAATTTCGAAATCTATCGGTAGTTTTTTTTTAAGAAGTTTTAATGAATCATGAATTCATCGTATGTAACGTAATACAATTATAAAAATCGATACGTAGTATCTAGATTGCTTCTTCCACAGATATTATGAATAACTATTCACGTCATCATTTAACTTATATACAAAATTTATGAAAGAATTAGGTTACAAAGAACGGAATAAAACGTTCTATTCCAAGAGAATTAAGATTCAAAACATAACAACGATTATATAACGAGTTAGCAATAAATTATTTATTGTAGGAATTTCACCTGAAGAAAGAAATGCAAAATTTGCAGATATGTGACCCATTGAAGTTGTACGGAAAATGTTAAAAGAAAAAGTGCGAGGAAAAGAATTCTCAAGTTTCAAACAATTAAAAAATTCACATTGAATAAAAAATGAAAAAAAAGACTTTTGATGATTGTAAAAAGAACGATTGATAAAATTCTTTATAGAATTGGCAAAGTGATAATTTATGATAGCAAACAAATACGTGATAATCTAATAGGATAATTTTTTTTTGTTGTTAGATTAATACGTGCCAGTAGCGGAGCTAGGGTTTGAACTAGTAGGACTCAGGTTCCTTCTCTCATCCTCTGTAGAGCGTGTTAGGCTCAAAATTTTCGGACCTGCATTCGATCGAACCGTACTTCGATATTTTCAATGGAATTTTCTAATCAGAATAGGATAGCCGTACAGAAGATGCAGATATTTTTTTCTCGTTTTTGTATTCAGTGACTAGTGTACTCTACATATTTCTCATATGAGTCGTCTGAGGAATGTGCTGGATAAAGCCCATTAGATTCAAAGTTTTCAGATCTGACCGGCTCTATCCCTGACTCACTCCGCTGATACGTGTTTTTACTAAATTAAATATGTTTTGTTTCTGATTGTTGAAAATAATACTGAGATTTTAATTATCACGTTTGTTCTTTTTACATTAATATTATTAAAATAGATAATGCCATAGAATAATATATCATTTAAAACATTATAGGAAGTACTCGAAATTCATATAGATATAGTGGGGTAGGTATCACTCTTTGTTTGCATATAAACTAATTTTTGTTGAGGCTCAGAATTTATGGGACACCTCTTATGAGAATAATACAGCTTGAAATCATTGATGAGACCTTTAACAGATGTTCCTACAAAGCTATTGTATGATCATTTCCCATTTAACTCGAACAACTAAGTTCGATAAAAACATTTTCTAGAAAAACTAGTTGAATATCCTTGGATCTCTCCATGACACACGTTTTTTTTATCGTATCGATATTTTAGGTTCGGATGAAGAAAAAAATGATTTAAAACGAATCTATCTTGAAGTAGCTGGTGATATGGATCAAATATTTGAACGACATCTTCTAACATGTCTTGAAGATGAAGATCGTTTACGTTCAATGATTGATCAAATGATTGAAGATAATGAAGTACCACCTTTTGATGCTTATACTAAAGAAACAAAAGCTAAAAGAAATAAACGACATAAAAAAGTATAAACAAAAAAATCTCATTGATCTCTTTTTTTTTGTAATTTTATTCTATTTCTTATATAAATAGTTAACAAAAGAAGCAGCCGAAGCTGAAAAATTAATGAAAGAACTTAATATTGGTAATGATGATGCAAGTCTTGAACGTGCTATACAAATGCGTCAACAACAAAGAGCTAGTTCAAGTTTTTATGATCAACTTTTAGAAAAATATGGTTCAAAAACAAATAATGGAAATAAAAAACGTGGTTCAAGTTCATTAAATAATAATAAATCGAAGAAGACCTCTATTAATCATCATGGAAAACGTGCAGCAAAAACTGATGATGAAGAAGATGATGAAGAAGAAGACAATGATGTTGATACTAGTGAAACATTAACTGATGATGAAGATCAACAACCAAAACGAAAAACATCATCAAAAAAACATGGAACAACAATGAAAAAAACTCGACGTACTACAACTAGTAATAAAAAACGCAAGATATCATATTAGGAAAAAAAAAACAAAGACAATTTAGATTTATTTACGAAAACAAAATAATAATAAAAATACACATTAAGCGAAACAATCAAGACAAATTATATTGGCTGTTGGTCAGATGAGTAAAAAAAAAAAAGAAAAAATTAGAATATTTTTTTTTTCTTCTCTTTATGTATACTCTTTATTCATAAATAAATAGATATAGGGAAAATGTGTTATTTTTTTATGTTCGTATTTGTTGTAATATTTAAACGTTTAATTATATCATCAGCTTCAAATCGATTAATTTCTATTAAATAATTTATTTGTTTGGTATTATCATTAAGACATGCAACATAAAGATGACCATTAGTTGGTATTGGAACTTGAGATCTACGGATTCCACGATAAATATCATTTGTTGCGGAAATAATACCTTCTCCAAGCTATATAAAATTAAATATAATTAATAACATAGATTTTAATTCAAAAAGACTTACTTGAGAATATTCAAAATCAATCATTGTGTCGTAAACACGACCACGTAATGTTCGTAAATCTTTATGATCGAATTGTAATGTATAATAATCTCTAGGTGGCATCGTGACTGATGAAATACCACGTTTTACATCTGTTACTCTACTAATGAAAGCAATTGAAGACTTGGGAATTTGTTCAAGAGCTTTGTCTTTCCCATGTAATACCATGTTGTTATTACTTGTTCGATACAACGGTAGTGCGTTAAATGACTTTCTATTTCTATTTTTTACAATCGATGTGCTTTTATATATAGATGAATATATATATAATTTATGCTCTCCTGTCTAACTGACATTCGATCAAAAATATTCTGTATACAATGTTACATTTGATAGACCATATACGGCAAGTGATACTATTGCCATTGAGTATCTCTTTCTTCGATAAATCTATAGAGAAAGTGATGGATGAGGTAGACAGAAATTATTGGTTGTGTTACATAGAAAAATAGATAGATCGATTGATTTATTGAAAATAGTCAATATAACAAGATATTGACTAGAAGTTACATATCAAGAATGAATTATTTATTTATTCATTTTTTTGTTCATTTTATCATAAATATTCTTTGAAATATATCTAATAAAAGAAGTGTTTAAGAGAACTGACAATTTATCTATCTCAAGATGAACTCAAGCCAATGAGTGGTCACTGAAAAAAACGATTAATTGAAAATAATAAAATTGATTGATTATCATATTTAATATTTGCGTAGGTTTAGAAATTTATTACTAAATGAAAATATAACTTCAATCAAGTGATCATTTATTATTCTATGAGAAAATACTTTTACAATCAACCATGGAATTAGATCTGTATATTGACAACATGAAAATTCAAGTCTGTAATCAAGTTCTCTGTATATCGTCTCTTTTTCTTCATTCTATTGTTTTCGTATATCATGCAAATCTTTGTCTCATAGGAATATCTACAAAAATGTCAACCTATTTCAATAAAGAGAAGAAAGAGTTAGTTATTTCATTTGTTATTCGTCATTACAAATAATAGTTTTCTTGATTACTCCATGATGAGTGAGAAACAAAAAAAGTATTACTATTGATCTTTTTTCAAGTCAAGAAGAGGTGAGACAAGCATAAAGAGGATATTGTTTCATAGAAGTAGGTTCATCTATTTTATATTTATTTTGATAATTATCAAATGTAAATATCAGACATCTTTCTATAGTAAAATTACAAGTAGAACTATTTATAAGACAAATATGTAGCGAAAATCATAGGAAAAAATATTGGAATATTTGTTAGATTTTTAGGAATGAGTAATAAGTGAATCATATAGTATATATGTACCTATGTTATTGACGTTGGAAGTTTCAACACATAAGCTTAGGAGACATGAGAAGATAAGGAAAATAGTATGATAGCTTGCTAGCTTGTATAAACAGCATGTACACATAGTTTCCTGTGAAATCTTTATATATAGCAATAACAGGAGATAAAATCCACACAGTGAAAAAAAATCTCATATATTATGAAGAAGAAAGGAAAACCTGTAAAATAAAGTTAAAGAGAGAATATTAGAAAGATGGAGACATGTTCATCACATATACATATATATGGGAAAAAAGGAAAACGTCATCAAGTATACATATATGAAATAAAAGAGAGAGACACCTCACATATATGATAGCATAGGAGAACCTATGGTGCATGACTAATAAGAGAAAGGAAGACGTAATATATATTGGTACAGTCATACAAATAGTGAGAAAGCTTTCATGACCTTATATAAAGAAGATGCAGATCATAACATTTTCGTCTGTTTATCACTTCCAATAAGCAAAGTCAATATGCAAATCTCTCTTTCGCACTGTTCTGTTTTTCTTAGTCATGCATGTTTTGCAAAAGAGTAAGAAAAAACGAACGAAAAGCGACAGAGGACTCTCATGTTTTTCGTATTTTTTCACGTTGCAGGTAAATAATATAGTGTACACAAAATATACATTGACACAACAGATTAAGAATAATGTAATTTTAAAGTTCTCTTCATTGCAGATATATTTCTACTAATTTTACCAACCATGTCTTTTGTAAGTATATATACGTACGAATTTTTAATTATATTATTCTAGAATTAATTTATAGAATAAGAAAATAAGAAAGTTAACTTCCAATCAAATTAAAGGTGTGTACACTTTATAGTTGATTAACAAAAAATAAAAAAGTAAATTTATATGTTCAATTACATTATTTAGAACTTCGACAAGCATTCGATTTATTTGATACAGATCATAGTGGCGCTATATCATTACCTGAATTGAAACAAGCACTATCGGCATTAGGTGTTCGTGTAAATGATCATGAAGCACGACAAATGTTTTCAGCAATTGATATAGATAGTAAAAATCTCAAAGAAAATTATTTAAAATCAGTAATTCTATTTGTTTTGTTTTGTTTTGTTTTTATTTTAGAAAATGGTTTGTATAATACAAAGATAAAAAATATTCTTTTATAATTTATTTATTTATTTATTTTCTCTATGTTTTTTTCTTTTATATTTTTATTTAAGGTCGAATTGAGTTCGAAGAGTTTGTGGAAGTTGTAGCTGATTCTTATTTCAAAAAATTTTCACGCTCAGAAATTCTTGAAGCATTTCGACGTTTTGATCATAATCGCGATGGTTATATTGAAGCTGATGAATTAAAAACCATTTTATCTAAACTTGGAAGACATTATTCTAATGAAGAAGTTAATCATTTGTTTTTTTAATATAGAATGCGTGAATGAATAATATATTTTAATTTAGATTCGTCGCATGATTGCTCAAGTCGACCGAGATGGAAATGGAAAAATATCTATTGAAGGTATGACATGAAACATTAGTAAATCGTCGTCTTTCTTTGTTTCGAGAAAATTCGAATGATCAAATTATTTTTGATGAATAATATTGTTTTTTTTCCTAGAATTCGCCGAACTTGTCGAAAAACAATCGTAATTCAAACGACACACATTGAATATATACCAATTTTTGTTTTTATTTTTATTGTTTGTTTTGTTCATGCATTAAATTTTACCATACCTCTTGAAACAAAAAAAAAACAACGGAGAAAAATTTTGCCTCCGCAATGTTTTTACGTTCATCTATATGTTGTATTTATGTATGTGCATTTGTATCATTTTCCCGTTTGACTGATTAATAACTCAGTCTACTTTTTTTTTTTGCTCATTTATATTCTCTATTATTCTTGTATGTGTATGTGCGTATTCATATGAGAAAGAATACAGAACAGAGAAAGATATGCAAGAGAAAATCATAATAAATTGCAAGCGGACGTACGCTCAAACAATACTTTTCAATGCTTGAAAGAAAAGAAGAGAAATTGAGTGACGCTTTAGTGTGTGTAGATTTTTTTTTCTTGTCAAAAGAACGAGGTCGACAGCGCAAAAGGGCTAGCGTATGCGATTCATTCTTGTATCGTCTTTTCCGTCTGCCAAACACAGTCTTTCTCATATTGCACTGTTATCGTCCCGGTCGAGTCAGAAGAAAATATTTGACTTCTCTCCCTCTCCCTGTGTGTATTTAGTCATCGTTACGTCTCTTATTCTTTTTTTCTCTTTCTCTATGTTTGCATTAACCACGATGACAACGAACTAAAAAAAAAATAACAACAACCAAAACAGCAAGTACACTCATCATCGAACGAATATTATTATATTAAATTTCAGTAGAAAAAGAAAGAAAAAAGGAAACGAACGAATAAACGGTTGAATCTTCAACGTCCTCCATTAACGAAGGTGAAGTGAACGCATACGCGCAATTTACCAAAAAAAGTGCATCATCAAGAAAAAAGATAAAAAAAGAAAAAGAAACAACAATTGCGAACACAAAAGATAAAGAAAAAAGGGAAAGTAAGATGAAGTTTCAACGTCGTATTCTTCCTCCACATTCACCAACTTATCTCGAAATGGAAGAATACACTACTCCATCATCATCACATCAATCAAGTAACTAGAATTGCTTTTATTATCTTAAATACAACAAGCATTAATAATTTCCTCCTTTTTCTTCCCTTTTTTATAGTCTCAATTACTGGATCTACAAGTGATTTAAGTGAAATAGGAAGTGTGTACTCTTTATCAATTATGCCAAAACAACGATCTGATTCATTAACAAATTTATTTAATATGTCTGAAGATAGTACATCATTATCAAATTTAAGTATTGCATCATATTCTTTATCTCAAAATTCATGTGAAAATGGATCCTATACTAATACAACAACTTATACAACATTATCACCAGTGACAATATCATCACAACAATATGCAACATCAATTAATAATGATTCGGATAGAATTTCTCGTAAACAATATAGTTCATCATATCGGAGTTTAACAGAAGAACCAGATTCCCCGGTGAATAATCGTAAATTAAATCTGAATAATAATAATAATAATAATAATAATAATAGTTCACGTCGTAGTGGAGATTCTACTCGTCATTATCATTTTTGTTCACCAAATATAAGTGGTAATTCATCAACAACAAGTAGTCTAAAAAGTTTTCCAATTAAAACAGCTGAAACTGTTTTAAATACAATAGGAATTAATAAATCATCATCGAATGATGATTTAACTGATAAATGTGGTTTAATAGCACATGATGCAAATGATATTGGAAATAATGATGATGGTGATAATGGTAATGATAATAAACAAAATCATAATCAACAACATCAATATGATGATATACAAAGCTATTGTGATACTCATTGTATTGATAGTTCAGATGAAAATGAACTTGATATGACATCATTAAGAAATTCATCAGGTACAACACAAACTGGACGAGGTTTAAGAAAAACAGTTTTAAGTAATGTTGATCGTTTATTGAATTCTGGCAATAAACAAATAAAATTTTAAAGCAAACAAAAAAAAATACATCCATACAGAACAGATGGTTTATTTGAAATTTACTGTGATTTGTTCATAGAACTGTTCATTTTTTTTCTCTCTTTATTTGTTCATTTATATTATATTGCAGTGAATTCTGTGCAACAATTTATGTAATATCGTTTTGTTGTTTTGAATTAAAATTTTTATCAGCATTACAACAAAATGATAAGATATATATATATATATATTAACAGCTTTTTGTTTTTTTGTTTTGTTTTATCTAGTAAACTGATACAAATAATGACAACGAATGGACCGGTACAGTCGACCGATGTGTCAGATTTATCATTTTTATCAAAACCTATTGGTGATTTATTTGGAGATTTACCAGTAAATCCAGATGATTATTCTCGTTGTTTATTATCAGAAGATCAAATATCATTTTACAAAGCAAATGGATATTTAACACAAGTACGCGTATTAACCGATGAACAATGTAATCGTCTTTTAGATGAATATAAAAAATTCCTTTTATGGAATGATAATAATAATAATAATAATAATACTAATACTAATCAAAATTTATATGGAAAAAATGATTCACATCGTTTAGATTTTCCAGAAAAAAATCTTTTATATGAATATCATTCAAATCAAAGTAATGATCCAAATAATGTTGTTACACATATGTTAGGTCATTGGAGAATATCACCTTTATTTCATGATTTAATATTTATGCCAACAATTACAGTACCAGTATCACAATTACTTGCTGCTTTTCATCCATCAAAACAATTATTTGTTCCAGTTCAATTTTGGCATGATCAACTTTTTGCTAAACCACCATATCATGGTGGACAAGTTGCTTGGCATCAAGATTATTCATATTGGACACGTACTGAACCAATGCAACATATTAGTGTACACATTGCATTAGATGATCAAACAGAAGAAAATGGAACAATACATTATGTTCCAGGTTCTCATCTTTGGCATCGAATTGAAAATGGTCAAGAAGTTCCATTACCAATAACTGATATGGATTTTTCAGATATGGAAAGTATAAAAAAGATTTTAACAGAAGAAGAAATGACAAAATTTCAACCATTACCAAGTTTACTTAAAAGAGGTCATGCATCATTTCATCATCCACTTACTATTCATGGTTCATATTCTAATCGAACATCATCACCACGTCGTGCAGCTGTACTCAATTATTTTGTTGAAGGTACACGAAGTAATACTGACGAACCACTTTTGCATGGTATACCAAAAATTGCTCGTGGTGAACCTTTGAACAGTCGTTTTTTTCCTCTGGTTTTTGATCCAAAATGGATGTAATCATTTTTTTTTTATTACCTTATTTCATTTATGATAATCTTGCTATTGACTTTTTTTTTTTTTACTTTGAATGAGAATGAAACGTTAGATGCCGTAGTGTATCAGATAGAAAGTTCAGCTTATCAGAACTAATAAATGATAATAACAAAAAACAACGTATTTGATTATTTAAATCTTTTAAGAAATAATTTGTAATTAATAAAATAAAATAATGAACAAATTAATGGAGATTAGTAATACTACTAGCTTCTGATCCTTTATTATTTTTAATAATTATTATTTAATAAATATTAGTCTAACTAGTATGTCTATTCGATTTATGCAAAAATAAACTAAATGTACTATTATAAGTAAATATTTTTCTGACAGAAATAAAACCAATAACAAAGACAACCAATTTTTCTCTACTGAAAAGTTTGTATGTATAATAGCCATTATATTAATTGCAACAGATTTTGTTTTTCATTAGACTTGTTACTAAAATAGATGACATATATGATATAGTATTAGCTAACATTATGGTTAAACCTCATATATCTATATTCGATGGAAGAAAAGGACATATGAAATCTATAAATAATGATTGTTGTTTGCACAACAAAGCTTTTCGCTATTGAATCAATCATTAACAGATCGCTTAATTCTATAATAATAACATATAATGATCAATCAATTGAAGATCAACATTTCAATTAAAGAAATTCAAGTTTTTATTTTTTTAAAAATATTTATTTTAATTTCTTTTTATATACATAAATATAATAAAGTTTTAATCAAACGCTAGAAAATCACACGCTATTATAATAGTCCCATGTGCATTCATAGTAGATAATGGAAAGATTTTTATCATTAATGGTCTAATATAACCAGATGTGAGCACATCAGTATTGTTTTTAATACATAATCAAAAAAAATGGTGCCAACTCATTATTCATCTAAGCAAAAAGAAAATACTTCATACATTTTATTTCGATCGAACTTACGATAGTTTAACTTTATTTTTAACAGTTTTAACTAAACAGACTTGTTCGGTAGCAAGATACTATCTTATTTCATCACCTGTAAGTGATAAAATGTTAATACTACTAACAAATATTTTTATTACAGAATTTATAATAAGAATATGTCTTTCTTTAATTGACTAAACTATTGTTGTCAATATTGATACAATCAGTACATTACTTACAAGAATTATTGAAGTAATGTTTCTATTTGTCATTACTTAACGTCAAATATTATTACAATTGATTTTTTTTCATAGCTAAAATAAACGGAAAAATCTAACGAGAAATAATATAAGAGTATCTTGTATTTAAATAAATATTACATATTTTTAAATCCAAAATAGACACGTATAAATATGGATTATTATTAGTAAACAATAATAAAATATATCGTACTAAATTATAGAATATAAAATATAAAATTTCAATTTCAAGTATGTTTCGTTATCTTTAAATTTCTATGTTGAATGATAGACAAAGTGCTTGTTTTCTTCATCATTAACATTATTCATTTAATAAATTTTCTGTTAGCTGTCCGTATTTGAATTCGTGAAATCTATTTTTATTTAGGCTCTTGTTTGTTAATGATGCTTTTGTATTTTGTTTCCTCGTTTTATTTGATTGCTTCCCGTCTAATAGTTTTTCAATCATTGTCGTGTTCTTTTATAATAAGTCTCAACGGCATAATTTTATTTGTATTCATATTGAAATATCCGAAACGATTCTTATTCATGCATCTTTGTAGTTACAACAAATTTCTAGATTTTTCTATAATATTCTTCTATACAAAAAGATTCTTTAAGAAAAAAACAAACATACAGCTTAAATTTATCTATATGTTCTGCGTAGTAATAAGTCAATAAAGTGAATTTCAAAAGAAAACATGCTCGAAAAACAAAATAGAAAAGATCAAAATAGCATGCAGTGCAAAAGTAATCAATACAAAATGTCGATTATGTTGTCCTGTCATAAGTAAATGCTGAAGGCAACTATTTTTATCAATCAATAAGAGATTCTTGTCGTCTTCTGAAATGTATATTACTTATGCTAATTATACCGTTATAAACAAAATGACATGAAGGATATTCTATGCGATGTCTACCATTGTTTACATTGACTTTTGTCAAATCTCATTAAACTTTCAGGATTTATAGACCAAATTCTGAAAGTGTAATGAGATTTGGCAGTAATCGATATAAACAATGGTAGATATCGCATGGGGTATCCCCATGAGAAAAAAGACAAGTGCACACAAAAAAATGTGTCCACAAAAGTTGCAATCAAAAGCATGTTGTAAGACAACAGTTATATCAATTTTTGTAGACTTTTCAAAACAATCTTATAAAGTGACATTTAATTAAAATTAAGTGTCGTTGTACGAAATATTTTGATGATTAAAATAGAAATCACCAATTTCTTCCAGATATGTTTCTCTTTTGTCTTGCTTCACTCTTTTTATATGAATGAATGACCAATATGTAAATCATTTACAACGACATATTATGTCATTATATTTACATTGTATGCTAATTTAAATTTATTATTTCTATATTATTTCTAATTTGTTACACTCTGTTGATACTTTTGATAATATTAACTGGTTTCTTTTGTTTCTAATCGAACAACTGGAATAATTCGATTACAATTGCTTGAACGAAATTTCATTTATGCAAATATATTTTCTCGTATTTTTAATCATTATGTTTTCAACATTATGAAATATAATGACTATTTTCACTTCCGTTACTAAAAAAAAAACGAAAGGCAAGCTCAAAAATTTCTAAGTAACACATCAATATAATATTTTCATTCAATTTTGAATTCAAGCATAGATCATACATTTCTTCACTGAATTTAATTAACGAGAAAAACTTGATCAAACACGCACACATACATATATTGTCAAAAAACAAAGTGAATACTAGTAATACTAAAGTAATATAAATGCAAATGATAAAAAGAAAAACAAACATAAATATAAAAGAAAAGAAAGCTGACTTTTTATTTTGACAGTTGGACTGTACTCACATTATCGATATATTTTTTTTTCTTTGAATACAAAACACTGAATTTTATAAATCCATCTGTCAAAAAAAAAAGGTTTGCTACTCTAATAGTTAAAAAGAAAATGATATTCATCAAATAATTCTCTATAACAACATAATATATTTTCTATATTTAAGCCATCGGATCAAGTGAACATCGACGACGAAATTCTTGACCACGTTCATGTATCCATTTATTACCAACCCATTTATTACCAATCAATACCGGACAAGCTTAAAACAAAAAAAGAAGTAGAAACATGAAAAATCAAGTAAAATATATACCAGCATGTCTTGTATTATAATCACCTAAATATCGAAAATAAATTAGTAAAAAAAAAAAAAAGGAGAAAAAATCTAATGATTATACCTTCGCCAGATGCATAAAGATTATACCAAAATACAGCACTTCCTTTTTCCGGCTTGACATGACCACCAGTAGGAATAAAAACAGTTGCACCACCTTTTTCAACATCACTTAACTATAAAAAAAAATGATTATTGAAATTAAATTATGATGAATTTCGATTTAACTTACATATGTTAACCATGTAGCCATTCGATTACCTTAAAATAAACTTTAATTTATGAAATCTAATATAAAACTTTCGACTTACCAGCACCAAAACTTGAAAAAGCATCTTTTTCTGTTTTCTGAAATATAATTTATTTATAATTTTATTTTTTTGAAATATTTAAACAAGATAATAAACTTACACGGGCAAAATCAAAATGTGGTTCATAATGTCCACCAACACCATAGTTTGCAATCTACGAAATATATCTTTATATTTTTTTTCTTCAGTTCTATGAGAATCAAACTATACATACTTGAAGATCTTCAGCGGTTGCCATACTTAAATTTGTTACAGCTTCAATTAATCGAGATAAACGAGCTATTACTGGTGAGTCTTCATTTCGTAACCAAGCACTAAAATTTGAATTATTTTAATAATAATAATAATAATAATAATAATAATAATAATAATTTCTATTTTAACACTACACAAATGCATCTATATCTACAATTTTAATAAATACATGCAGGTAATATATATATATACATATAGGAAAAGAGAGACAAAAAGCAAAGACAGTTCTAAAATGTAATTAAACTAGGAACAAGAAGGAAAAGCTATGGTTATACAATATCAACAAAAGCTAATTAGCATGCATGAATATTGAGCGGAAAAAAAGGCTATATCAATTATTGTACCTTTTGCTCACTCTATATTCGGCTGGCTCAAGTTGTGCCGTTTTAGGATTCTGTACAACAGCTCTTCTCAGCTACAATCATAATGAGAGATAAATATTAGATTAAATATATTTCAGACACTGATATAATGAGATATGTTTTGTGCTGTATTGTACATCAACCAAATTATTATTATTCCTGAAGCGAGAATCTTTCCAGGTGTCAAATCGCTTTTCGAACACGACGATGCTCATTTGATGATAGAAAAGTCCAGAATGATTTGGTTTTGCAAGCCTTCGTTCTTGAGATATCGAAATTTTACTGGGTATTTCAATATAAAGATATGGTTTCCTTCAAGTCACATGAAAAATCGATTTTCAGGCTTCGGTTTCAAACTTCACATGAACAAAGTTTGAAGTCGAAATTCTCATGTGATCTGAAGAGAACCACAATTTTTTATTGAAAAACCATCTTGAGAAGAAAGGTTCGGAAAACCTAACCATTCTAGACTTTTCTATTACTTATCAAATAAATATCTTAGTCGAAAAACGATTTGACTCCTGAAGAACTGCCCTTGTGAGCTCATTAAAGAGCTTTCTTTTCATTTTTTTTTCTAATTAAGAAAAGTTGTATATGAACAATATTTTGAATTAAGTGTAAAAATGAAGATCTTATCAAATATAAAATAAAAAACTTAGATTATACATTCCGAGATAGTTCTTTTCAAAAATTTTCAATAGATTACAACTTTGATAATTTTTTATCTCTACACAGCCATTAACGTATTTTCATATTGTCTTATATTAGGTGTCACACGCCGTCATGTTGTGGAACACCTATGCATGTATACCAAGAGAAAAACAAAGAACTTTGGTTTTATAGACTATGAAACAAAAAAAACAACGTCATAAAATCCTAAAACCATTATTTCTCTATAAAGTAGTAAACTCTCACAAAATAATAAGACGTTTGATTTTATTGACAAAAAAATCTGAGAATGATAGATCATATAGGCAAGTAATGAAAATAATGACTTTTGAAAAATTGTCAATTCTATAATTCATCAATATCATATCGTACTATCAAGTGTTCTGCACGAGTACAACATTATGCAACTGGCACCCGATTCGAACTAATCAATATTCATCAGATACTTTCACAGTCATAGTACGGTTTTCAAACTTTCATTTTATATGAAAAAGCATACTATTTAGTTTCTTGTATAAAAAGCAACAAAAAAAAACAGATCGTCTCAAATTCTACAAAAAAACCAAGTGATTCAAGATTTGCTGAGTGTTTCACTGCTTCTGAAATCCGATAAATTCCACTAAGTATACGTTTACTTGTTGCTGATAACGTCAGAATTGAACGCAGTATTGATGCTCAACGCCATTATTGTGGACACATATATGAATCATTTTTCCATCATGATAATACTTATTCACCTTTTTTGATAGTTCATTTTGCTCTCCATGTATTCAATTACTTCGTCATATGATTCATCATCATTTGTGGATGGATTTTCATTATAAACGAATTATTTGAATAAAACAACATTGTGTTTCCACGCCTGTGGCCTGTTCTCAAGTACAATAAACTGCTCAATCATTATCCAACCGGCTTTTTACTCCTATTTTTTTTATATAAATTAGCAGTTTGAAAAAGTAAAAAATATTTTGAAACATCGAGATCTCATTAATTGCCAGGTCGACTCCAGGTATCATCTCATATACAGAACTCAAATCAATCCGGTTACAGAACATTAGTCCTATCATATCTATATTTCTCATCATTGCATAACAAGAGATAGTGTATGTATGATTTTGATGTCTCATGTTATCAATGTCTAATATACGTCTGAATGTTGAAAAGATTGACTCTACTAATTAACTTTTGATCACTTTTTCTCAGGAATTTATAATAAGAAAATGTTTGTCTTATCATCATCATCGAAAAAAAACCTATTTCAGAGATCCTTATTTTTGGTTTTCAAAATATTCTATTCTAAAATTTTCCGATTTCACCAAGTTAGTATTACTTATTACATCAGAAGTCGATTTTTTCTTTCGTAAGTATATTTAAAGAATGATAAAAAGAAATCAAACACAAAATGCACACTAGTATCATAAATTACACAACAGCAAATAACTATCAATATTAATGACGAGAAAAAATATATTTCAATACCTCTTACTAATTCTGTAATTAGCCGGTTTAAAAGTATTGCTCCCAGCATCTCGTACGACAGCACGTTGTAACTGTAAAGTGAGAACTTATTTAAACTTGATGAAATATTTCTTATATCTATTTTCTTTAATCTCTTTCTATATACGTATCTCTTATTGATTCATTAATACTTACACGTGGTAGAGCAATGTCTTTAATTACTTGAATGTCATTATCACGTACAGTATCATGATAAAGATAAATAACTGGTTCATCTAATAATTGTTCTTCTTTAGCAGGTCGTAAAATAAGATATGGATGATTATTATGACGGTAACGACAAAATAATTTTGCTTGACGTTTTGTATTTATCTAAATTAAAGAACAAAAAAAAATTTTTTTTTTTGTTTTATATCAAAATTATTTTTTACGCTCGATCCATTTTGTCGACAAAGTTGTTCATACTTTTCACGTTCATCTAAATAATCTCTTGGTCGTTGATTCTTAATATTAATATTATCCATCTTTTTAATTGTTGGAGTTGATTTAAAATCTGATGAATCGGAATTACCATTTAATATTTTCTTTTGAATAAGATCTTCATAATATATTTTATTACTGCCTGCTCGAACATGATCAGGAGCTATTCAAAAAACAAATAAAGAATAAAAAATAAAAAATGTTAAAAATCGATCTTATTACCAATTCTAAGAATTTCTTTTGTCAATACCAAAGCATGTTCATGGTTTCCTTGCTAAAAGAAAAGTAATTTAAATAAAAACTTTGTTCGAAATATCTTTTTTTTTGTTACTTGTGATGTTGAAAAAGCCAGATGATCAAGAATATCAACTCTACTAGGTGATGTGTTATTTACTTCTTTATCTAAATGATCGAGAGCTTCTTGCATCCACATTAATGTATGATAATAATCTCCATTGGTATAAGCAATACGTCCCAAATCATAACATTCCAAAGCTATTAGAAATAGATTACAAAATAAAAACCATTGTTAACACATTCCCTACGGGATTAAAATGTGAAACACGATCTAGTTGCACTTGCTATTCACAACGACATTGTTTTATTCTATCTATTTTGGGACACATTTCTTCGCCATCGATTTATTTATGACAGAACTTCTTCAACTGTTCTCTTCTGATTTCAATGAATTTTTGTCTATAGATACTACAGAATGTTCTAATAACAATCCTAAAGGGATTTGGTTTTCTATTGAGATGTTACTAAGCTATCAAATTTTTTCTAGAAACCTCAAGTTTTCGGAAAACTCATATTTCTGAATTTTGATCTGACACTTTGTGCATACAGAGAATGCAACTAGACTACGTTCGATAAAAAAATTCAGAAGTATTGAACAAAGTCTCTTCGAAATATGAAACTTTTGAAGATATCGATCCTTTTTCATGGATAGGGGATACAACATGCATTTTTTTTGAGAGCTTTATATCTCCAAGAAATTTTCTTGAAAACTTCTGATTTTTCTTATGGAATCTAGTCTAGTTGAGTTCTCTATATGTACAAAGTTTCAGATCAAAATTCGAAAAGACAAAGTTTTCGAAAACCTGAGGTCCTACAGGATAGGCATGCATCAGTGTTGGTATTACTGGTATACTGATGCATCCATACGACAGGAGCTTCTAGAAAATGGACAAATTAAAAGTTCGACCGCTTAGTCAAATTTCAATACGAACGCAAATCGTTGACATCGGAAGGAGAGAACTTAAGAGGTTCCCTCATTAGTGCATCTTGTCGACGATAGTGAACTATGTCTATCATAAAAAGAGAACGCACTTATGCCTTGTTTCTGAGAAGATCAAATGTTTTTAGTGAGCTTCGGCTGTCGGACCCAACATTTATAGCAAGACTATATTTTCGAATCTCGATCTGAAACTTTGTCCGCGCAAAGACATCATTTAGACTTATTTGGATTAAAATTTACAGAATTTTTGGAGTAAGTCTCTCCGAGATAAGAAGCTTTCGAAAAATATATACTATATTAACTATCTATGGAAAACCGCCTATACCTTCAAAGTTGTGCACCTCGGAGAGATAGATTTAGTTCAAAGATTCTGAAAATTCTTATGCAAGCTAGTGTATTTGACGTCTTTGTATCGGTAAACTTTCAAGTTGAAACTTACTGAAAAGTGTTCGGTTCTCTCAGAAACAAGGCATGAGCATGTATTCCTTTCATAGTGGGCATAGTATACTGAGGAAGAAACATATCCAACTGTCAAATTGATTTTGGATCGGCTATAGCCTCAAACGATAGACTTCAATGAGTTATTAAATACCCTATAAGAGATCGGTTTTTCAGACCTCCTGAGCAGAGATATACGCTCATTGCTATTATCAGTTTTACTGTACTACTGTACTAATATATTCGATATCTTGACTAAACATGCTTCGATTCGGCTCAAATTTATATCAGTGCTAAAGCACTCAGTGCTGATTAAGATTCCACAGTTTGAAGATAAATCAATATTTCTTATCGAAGATATGAATTTGTTTCATATACTGATTGATTATTAAAACATATCATTTGCTCTTGCTTAAAGATGCAAGTATTTGCTGATCTGAAATTTTCAGCACATATTCATCTCATAGTTACCAAGCGTGTGGAAATATCAACTCATTCATCGGTGTTTTACTCAATAAGGATTAGAAGAATGAATTCTTGTACTCTTTGTTAAATGATCTAGTTTCAGTGATATGATTGCAAATTAGAAGCACATCAACAAAAACAAAGAAAATGGAGTGAATCATTTAGTACGTGGAAGTGAGAGTTGTTGAAAAAATGTTCAATACATAATATATAGTCATGATAAACTGCACCCGATTAAGAAATATGAGGAACAATCACACTCGTCATATTTGTAATAGTAGTAGAAATTATATATCATGATTAAATATATATATATTCAGAGGAACCATGCTCACCTCCAAACAACACCTTCCTTCACTTTACATATTATTCTCTTTTCAACCAAATCAGTACATAATTACACCACTTTACCAATTTTGATTACCAACAAATCTATGGACATGTTGTATTCAAACAAAAAATAAGCTTTACTTCGGTCAGTGAAATATACATGTAAGACATCAACATCGTTACGAAAATTAAGTTTACCATATCAGTTCCATATTGAAAAGTACACAAATTTACTCCTCTAATTCTTATTGAGTAAAACACCGACAAATGAGTTGACATTTCCACACGCTTGGTAACTATGAGATGAATATGTGCTGAAAACTTCAGATGAGTCGATACTTGCATTTTTAAGCAAGAGTAAATGTTGTGTTTTAATAATCAATCAGTATATGAAACAAATTCATATCTTCGATAAGGAATATTGATTTATCTTCAAACTTTGGGATCTTAATCAGTACTGAGTGCTTTGGCACTGATATAAATTTGAACCAGATCGGAGCCTGTTTGGTCAAGATATCGAATATATTAGCACAGCAAAACTGGTAATAGTAATGAGCGTATATCTCTGCTCAGGAGGTCTGAAAAACCAATCTCTTGTAGGGTATTTAATAACTCATTGAGATCTATCGTTTGAGGCTATAGCCGACCCAAAAGCGATTTGATAGTTGGATATATTTCCTCGTGAGATCTACAACATGTACTAAGTCCAGAGTCAAAACCTAAAGGACACCTAAGAATATTCCTTTATTAATCCTAGAGAAATGCAATAAAATAGTAATTCATATATTATAACGAGACATTATTGACATGCGGTCTGTAATCATATATCAACATCTGTCATGATTTCAAATTTTCATCCTTATACTTTAACATTCCTTTTAGATTGTGTTTCACAAAATTCGTATTTTTACTCACCACTTAATTTTCGTGATTTATAATTTGTACTTATTTCTCCATTTGCTACTTCGCTTGTGTTTAATTTATAAGTATCTTGTAAACGCATTAAAGCAACAGCTGATCCTATTGATAATTTCTATAAAATGATAATGAATAAGAATGCAATTTATTTACCTGTATAATCTTCGTATGAAGGAAATAAATAATTATCAGCCATTGTTTTTGATGTATCTAAAAAGAAAATTTTCTTTTTTTTTGTTGAAAATGATTCTTATTAAAATAAAACACGTTTACCATCAAATACAATTTCCTCGATACCATACCAATCAACTGTTAAATGTTTGATAAATAAATGTGCATTAACAGGATTACCAAAATAAATTTCTTCTTTGCCTTGTGCTTGACGAATTTCATCTTTGATAACATCAAGAAATCTTTTTTTTTTGGAAAAAAAATAAAACATATATATTAATTTAGTTTAATCAAAAATAAATTTAAATACTTTTCTATACGATCTAATCGTTCATATTCAACTTTAAGATAAGATTGTAATTGTTTAGATAATTCAACTTCAGTATTAAATAGATGAGTTAAATGTGTTGTTGATGTAAATGATTCACTGTGAACAAATATTGATTTGACCAGAACAAGATAAAAAATATGAACGAGAAGCATTTGCTTTTTTTATACCAATGATCTACAAGAGTTCAACAAAAATGAAGTAAAATAATCAACAATGCGTATCCATCATTCTATATGCACATTGATGTCAAATAAATAAGGGAAAATGCCTATGATATGAGAAGAATAGTATACGAAAGAGGATATTTGTAGTTCAATGTATCATCGATCGATAATGGTCAAAGTATATATTTTCTGTTCCGACCGTCGAGAAACATCTAGTAGATACGCGATAACATTTTTCTCTTTCCATATTTTTCTGGAAAAGAACTGAGAAAGAATCTGTGTATATCAATCTTGCATTTGATCAAGAGCCATATGTACAACAGCGAACAAATATCGGATTGGATGAAATTCAGCAAATTAATATTAATATCGTACCTCTTTGCTGATGATCAGTTAGCTAATTTCAAAATTTATCGATATTTTTATGTAATTCTACAATCCAGAATATTCTCGATTGACTAAATAATCGAGAGAATTTTGCATTTTTAGGTTATATCTTGTCGTTTTTTCTCTTTCTCATTCTCTGACCAGTCATTGTTGTCGTGCGTCATTGTTGATAGGCTGACTGGTGACGGATATAACGTGACCGAAGAAAATTCTATAGCGTATTTGTCTTGTGACTCATTGTCATAAAGCAGTATAAAAGCACAGTTTTTTCACAATCTATTTCATTCTCGTTGCGCCAAATAATTTACTTATTTATTCTCTTTATTTACTTGATATTAAACCATACGCAATAAAAATTATGCAAATCTTCGTTAAAACTTTGACTGGCAAAACAATCACACTTGAAGTTGAACCAAGTGATACTATTGAAAATGTTAAAGCTAAAATTCAAGATAAGGAAGGTATTCCACCCGATCAACAACGATTAATTTTTGCTGGTAAACAACTTGAAGATGGTCGTACACTCAGTGATTACAACATTCAAAAAGAAAGTACACTTCACTTAGTTCTTCGACTTCGTGGTGGTATGCAAATCTTTGTTAAAACTTTGACTGGCAAAACAATTACACTTGAAGTTGAACCAAGTGATACAATTGAAAATGTTAAAGCTAAAATTCAAGATAAGGAAGGTATTCCACCCGATCAACAACGATTAATTTTTGCTGGTAAACAACTTGAAGATGGTCGTACACTCAGTGATTACAACATTCAAAAAGAAAGTACACTTCACTTAGTTCTTCGACTTCGTGGTGGTATGCAAATCTTCGTTAAAACTTTGACTGGCAAAACAATCACACTTGAAGTTGAACCAAGTGATACAATTGAAAATGTTAAAGCTAAAATTCAAGATAAGGAAGGTATTCCTCCCGATCAACAACG